TGAGAAAATCAAAGACCCTGTGGCAGCTTATAAACTCCTCAGACGAGTGAGGGCTGAATGGAAAAACATCGTAGATTACACTCAACAGAGTCTTTATCAATGTGAGATCTTATTTAATTCTATAAATTCAAATGTCTAAACATGCATTGTAGTTTATTTATAAATGTGGAGAAAAACTGGTAATGAAAGAGTGAACCAGTGGTAAATGCTTTTTGATGCTATTTTATTCAACTTTTCAATGCAGTTGCTTATGGATCTGTTCTCATATTTGAAAATCTTGTAGTGTATCAGACAGTGCTGACATATGCACAAATCCCACAGCCAGAGGACTTGGATGGTGCCGCTTCAGGACTGATCAGACTGCAAGAGATCTACAAACTCTACCCACACAACATCACAAAGGGTGAAATGTTTGCACCAATGTGGTTTCACTGTGAGAGTTTCACTTTTTCCTTCCAAGTTCCAATCTGATTGATGCTTTCATTTCATATTTCACAGAAATATCTCTAAACGCAGATGAAGCCTACCATGTGGGGTTTGTCGCTTATAACGAGCACAAATTCCAGCATGCTTTTCTCTGGTTTCTGTACAGTCTGGACAGATTAACACAATACTCAAACACTACTAAGGAAAAGTTGCTCCTTTACCTTAGTTTATCTGCCTATCGTTTTGGCAGCCTACCTGTGGCAATCTACTTCGGCCAACAGCTTCTAAATCTGGGTGAGCTCATGGTGTCCAGAATATTTTTATTTGTGAGGTTATCAGACAACTTTCCGATCAGACTATTGAAGTCATAAACTTCTTTGCCTCAGACCCAACTAACGATGAAGTCAAAGTTCTGCTGGGCCTTTACAGACGCCTTCGCTTGCAGAGAACTTCAAACCCTGACATATTTAGACTGAACAATGAATCAAGTAAATATGAGACACTGTGCAGAGGAGAGGTTGATGAGAGGGCAAGTGCAACTTCTCAAATTTAAATCATTATTTGACATGAAATTGTGAAACAGTCAATATAAATTCTTGTGTATTGGATGTTTATTATATTTTATAAAATCAGACCTCCAAGAGGCAGAGGGCGCTGTCCTGTAGGTACAGCACAGGTGGAGGAAACCCCAGACTGATTTATGCACCAGTGAAAGAGGAAGTGGAGTGGGACGAGCCTGGCATCATCAGATATCATGACATTATTTCAGACAGAGAGATAGAGATCCTGACGAATATCTCCAGACCTCTAGTGAATATCTAACACACAGAAACACGCACACACAAATCAATAAAATATTTGTCATTATTATTATAATCTAATATCTTGATGATGATTTACATATTTATATTTGATGTTCTGTTTACCTTTTGCTGCCTACTGTAGCTTTCTAGGTCTTTGACTACAGGGGGAGTGTCGAAGAATCGTACTTCTCAAGGGTGATAATAATCTTATTTTTCACCTATTATGTTCACTCGAAATTAACATTTACATTATAATTCTGTTATATTATAGTACTTATATTATTTCCTCACACTTATTATTGGAAGACCAATGGAAAGACTTTACAGTAGGGTTCAATTTGATAACAACAAATTAAATCTTCTTGTGAAGTGTTACCGAAAAATAATTTCCTTGTTTTTAGTGTTTTTCTAAAGGAAGACAATATTGTGGTTGCTCGTATCAGTCAGAGGATAGCAGACATCACAGGACTCTCCACGAAATCAGCTGAAAACCTATTTGTACGGTCACAGTAAGAAAGAAATCACCTGTTCATGTGCAGACAGCATCTCTTTTTTAAGGACAACTCTGTCTCTGTCCTAGTTTAGCAAAGCTTTGCAAAGCATGTTTTACAGCTAGCCTGGTCACAATCTCTTGCATAATATAATTTGGTTTAGTCTGCTTTTTGTAGCTTTTGCCAAAGAGCATAATAGGTTTGAGGACTGATATTATATTTTTATTTAGTCATTTTATATTCACCTCAATTATCAAACTTCAATGAACATCAAGGTATCTTCACGGATTAACATGTGTTTTCCTTGTGTAATATTAAGTGTTGTTTTACTTTAATTAAATCATAATTTTAATATAATGCAATCATTTTCCAGGTTCAGAATTATGGGATTGGTGGCAGATATGAACCACATTATGATGAATTGGTAAGATAAAGCCATTACATCAATTTGGCCAGTATTTGCCTTGGATTCCCTCATGAGTTAAATTATCATGTGGTTACTTAAGGAGACTTTCCAATTGCACCTAAAATTTTCTTTTTTCTCTTACATGTTTAAATTCACCTTTAAGGTTTTGACTGTGTCTGTGTGCAATTTATGTTGTTGATGAAAAATGTGAAAGTCATTCTTCAACTGTAGAATGACTTTCACATTTCTTTAACCCAGAGAGAACCCGTGGCTCTCTTTTAGGTCTTCAAACTTCAACTTTAATAGCTCTATTCTGTGTTAGTGAGAGCTTGATAACATATTAACCAATCATATCATTGCAAGATAATTTAATGTTTGATCTCACAGGATGATGAGAATGGAAGGATTGCTACGTTCTTAATTTATGTAAGTTTAGACCTCCAAATTCCATTGTTACTTTATAAGTTAATTTGCCATATTACCTGTATTGTACAATCCTTATGAGCAATAAATGGTGTGCTCTTGCTGTAGATGAGTGATGTGGAGATAGGGGGCGCCACTGTGTTTCCTCAAGTTGACGTTGCATTGAAACCAAAAAAGGTAAACCATCAAATCACTGATCTATAAGGTATATTAGAATGATTTAAGACTAATTCATGCATCCGCTCTCTACTGCTTAAGGGTTCAGCCGTGTTTTGGTACAACCTCCACAAGAATGGAAATGTGGATTTGAATACAAAACATGCTGGATGCCCTGTGTTAAGGGGTAACAAATGGGGTAGGTTTTTAAAGATATTGTAACCGGCTTGGATTACTGCTTCATTGTGTATCTTCTATAATGTATAAATAAATCTATGTTAAAATGACTACATTTCATACATATATTGGGTCTTTTCAGTGGCTAATAAATGGATCCATGAGTTTGGACAAGAGTTCAGGAGACGCTGTTCTTTGTCATACTGGGAGTGAAAGACACTGAGATCATGGAGAAATCATATGAAGTGCATCTGTACTATAGAAGTATCTGTTATATTTATTATGTATCATGTAAGTTTTGTATATAGGATCTGTAACACAGATAGCTACTGTATTGTATGCATTTTAACAGTGATTTACTACTGTCAAGGTGCCAGTAATATTAATAATAATTGTAATGTACAATAGAAAGTGCAATAAGTGCAATAGAGTAAAATAAAGTTTCAGCAAGGTATAAATGGATAATCACATTACCTGAGTGGATCAATTATAGCAGTCAGTAAGGAGTTATTCCTGTAAAATGAAGCCGAATTCTTGATTTTTCGTTTTGTTTGAACAAATGAAAAACGTAAAATGTGCCGTTTTTTTTAATTTTTCAGATTTCAATATTAAATTAAAATTCAAAATGTTTAGTTTATTCATAACATGATATAGTTAAATAACACCATGACAAGTGAGCTATTTTGCTCAATGTTCTCACGATGCAAAAAAACATTCAAAACACCTACAGAGTGCACGCATTACGTGAAGTCTAGTGTTCTAGCGCTCTTTCACTGCATGATTCAGTCTATTAAAATACATTCAGAATGATCACAAATTCAAGACATGGGGACAGAAAATGTGTATATTTATACCACTTCATATAGTTAATCAATTTCACACGGAAGAGTGCCTTTTTTTCTCCAAAATTACCATATACAAATGTGATATTGATTTTTTACAACAGTTCAATAAACTAGAAGTTTTATTAAGAGACTTACGTTTTAGAGACCATATTGCCTGTTTTTGCACTATTTCGCCAACAAAAATAATTCCAAACAAAGCCACAGCGCTGTTTTGCACGCAAAAATTATAACTATAGATATTATGCTAACATATCCTCTGTATAGTACCTGTGATTAGGTATATCAATATTTTATTAATAACAAAAATTATATGTGTGTGTCTCACCCTCAGGCTTCAGTGTCTTCATGCATGTACATGACTTATATGACATAAAACACCCACACATTATGTATGTGTGTACTAATTCTGACCCTCTTCAGTTATTATATGGTTTCTTTAAGACAAAATTTTAGGAACTGTGTATAATCACATCTAATACAAACAGTGACTGCATCATTATTAACCCTTGGCTCACACAGAAAATATAATGGAAATCATTCATTTTACTTTTAGTTTCTGCATTAGTCATAAATCAGACTTCCATGTAATGCATGCGTGATTGTTGACACAGCATCCTGCAATAACACAACAAAAAGGACACTATGCCTGTAAAGTTTGACCAGGTAACATTAGAACAGGCTTTGATAATACAATAGTTTATAATAATAATTTTATATTAGGATGTCTCTCTTTTTCTATCATGATTATACCCTTTGCGGTCTCCAATTGTGCTACATGAAATTATATTGGTAGCTAAGAAAATAATTTCATAGAAGAAACAAAAGTTTATTGTGATATGTCATGACTGTCATGATGTCACATTTATGTTTTGTTTTGCGGAATATTTTATGTTGATTGTTTTTTATTCATTATTATTTTTTTGCTTCTTTTGGTCCGTGCGTTTCATCTTTGATTAGTTCCTTTTTCTTTGGTTGTCTACTTTTATGCCCTGTTTGTTTACATAGTTACTCATTTGTTAACTGATAGCAAATGTGTATATAGGCTTTACTTCATTGTTCCCACAACTAGCCTGCTGACACATGAGAACTAACTCATGTAAAGTTTCACTTTTGTTTTTCATAAAATAGTAGGAATACAGAGAAACTATAAAATGGGCAGGCGTGTCTACAGGTGTGTCTCTGAAAGACGCAAATAAATGGTCTGTATTTAAGCTCAATTTCACTTCAAGGTATACATACTGAAGTTGTGTTTTGAGAAATTGAAGATTTGATAATGGCCTTAAAGGAACTGACATTTGTGGTGTGTTTTTGGACTGTCTGTACTGCTAGGCATGAATTCTTCTCATCAACAGGTTATTAATTATATTTATGTATATATATATATATATTATATATATTATATTTATTAATTATATTTTTATTAGTTTAATTGTTAATACTTTAATGTTATAGTGTTCTATCCATATTTCTCTATCTGATGTTTTTACGCAGTTGCCATGACAAGTTAATTTTATGTATTCATTTGTGATAGACCAAAATAAATGTTGCCATATTTCAATACTGATACACTCATACAAACATAGTTGTAGATTTTAATTTTTTTATTTATTATTGACTAAACAATATGAACTCTCTCTTTGGTTTCTTACTTGAAACCTTTTTCATTATACTTCTAATGACAAAAAAATCAAATATAACATATATCAAATGTTCTTTGACATTAAGTGAAGATTGTTCAATACTGTAGATCAAATTGCACAGCTTGTTGAGAAGAAAGAAGACCTTCTGCAGGGCTTCAGTCAGTACATTAATGCTGAAGAAAAGAATGTAGAGACAATGAAGAGGTGAATACACTTTCATTGTTCCCTCTATAAATTTTAAGATTAAAAAAGCATTCAGTTTTATAGCAATGGAGGTTTAACAATCTTATATATGGTGTTAGATGTATGATTAAGTTTTTTTTTTTTTTTTTTTTTAAAAAAACATAAGATTAAAAAAGCATTCAGTTTTATAGCAATGGAGGTTTAACAATCTTATATATGGTGTTAGATGTATGATTAAGTTTTTTTTTTTTTTTTTTTTTAACAATACAACTTCTGATGAACCACTGTCTTCAATCCAGTGTTTATCAGAATCTTCTGCTTTCACACTCCGACCCTGTGGACCCTGAGGAAATCATGAGAGACCCTGTGGCTGCTTACACACTCCTCAGTTAATTAATAAATATTGTCAAACACATTCAACTGAGTTTTTATCAGTGTAACAAGTATCAGAATGAGTTGGACGCAAAGTTGCTAGAGATCCCACAGCCAGAGGATTTGGATGGTGCTGCTTCAGGGCTGATAAGACTGCAAGAGATCTACAAACTCTACCCAGAAGACATCATGAAGGGTGAATTGTCCGCGGTTTTGCACCTATGTGGTTTCACTGAGAGAGTTTCACTTTTTATATTTCTTTCAAAAATCAGCTTCAATCTGTTTTGATTTCACAGACACATCTCTAAATGCAGAGGAAGCTTACCATGTGGGGTTGGTCGCTTATAACGAGAGCAAATTCCAGCATGCCTTTCTCTGGTTTCTGTACATTCGTAACACATTTAAAAATTACTCAACTAATAAAGTTTTGACAAATTACCTTAGTTTCTCAGCCTATGGTTTTGGCAGCCTACCTGTGGCAATCTACTTTGACCATCGTCTAAATCTGGGTGAGCTCATAGTGTCCTGGAGTTTAATACTAATATTTTTATAATTGAGTTTGTCAGTCAATTTGACCCAATTGTTGTGATTTAAGTCATAAACATCTTTTCCCTTAGATTCAACTAATGATGAAGACATAGTTCAGCTGAACAGACTCCTACACTTACAGAAATACCCTGACATATTGACACTGAACACAGAGTCAAATAAATATGAGACACTGTGCAGAGGAGGGATTGATGAGAAGGTAAGTACAAAGTCTCAAATCAATATCTGACATGAAATTACAACAGTCAATGTAAATCTTTGTTTTTGTATATTGGAATGTTATTATATTTGATAACATCAGACCTCCAAGAGGCAGAGGGCGCTGTCCTGTAGGTACAGCACAGGTGGAGAAAACCCCAGACTGACGTATGCACCAGTGAAAGAGGAAGTGGAGTGGGACGAGCCTGGCATCATCAGATATCATGACATTATTTCAGACAGAGAGATAGCAATCCTGAAGAATATCTCCAGACCTCTGGTGAATATCTAACACACACAAATCAATAAAATATTTGAATCATTATAATATCTTGTTAAAGGGATAGTTCACCCAAAAATTAAAATTACCCCATAATTTACTCCATCCTAGGTGTATATGACTTTCTTGTTTCAGACGAATCCAATCGGAGTTATTTAAAACCGTCCTGGCTCTTCCAAGCTTAATAATGGCAGTGAATGGGTGTTATTTTTCAATAGTCCAAAAGACGTCAAATAAAGTGCATCCATCCATAATAAAAGGTGTCCCACACAGCTCCGGGGGGGTGAATACAGGCCTCCTGTAGCAAATCGATGCGTTTTTGAAAGAAAAAAAAAATCAATATTTAAAAATGTATCTCTAGCTTCCGCTAACTGTCATACGTGCGTTCACAATAGAATTCCGGCGGATGACGTAGGATGTAGGCATAGCGTAAGGTCCGGTGAGAATATGCTAGTCTCGCGAGAACCAAAGTTTCCTTACTTCAGCAAAGGAAAATCAGTCTTCTCTTGACTTATATCGAAATCCGCCGACATTTTTCTATACAAATCTTCATTTTGTACTTCTTATTCTAATGTTGCGCCTTCCGCTGCGCCTACGTCATACACTCGAACACCTTGTCGTGAACGTGCCTGCTTGAGCGACCGGAAGCTGGAGATTACAGTTTATACATTTTTAAAAATCTATATTTTTCTTACACTAACGCATCATTTTGCTTCAGAAGGCCTGTATTAACACCCCGGAGCTGTGTGGAGTATAGTTTTATGATGGATGGATGCAGTTTTTTAGGCTTCAAAAAAAGGGGCACCATTCACTGCAGCTTGGAAGAGCCAGGACAATTTTAAATATGACTGCGATTGTGTTCGTCTGAAAGAAAAAATTCAGATACGCCTAGGCTGCCCTGAGGATGTTCCATTTACCTTATGTGGCCTACTGTAGCTTTCTAGGTCTTTGACTATTGAGGGAGTATCAAAGATCCGTACTTCTCAAAGGTGATTATCTCACTTTTCACCCATTATATTCACTCAAAATGAACATTTACATTACATTACTGTTATATTATAGCACTCATATTATTTCTTCACACTTATTTTGGGAAGAAAAATAGAAACACTTTACAATATTTTTCAATTCAATAACTAAACAAATTGAATCTAATTGTAAAGTGTTACTGAAAAATCATGTCTTTGTATTTAGTGTTTCTTTAAAGGAAGACAAGCCTGTGGTTTCTCATTTCAATCAGAGGATTGCAGACATCACAGGACTCTCCATGAAATCAGCTGAAGACCTACATGTACGGTCACAGTAAGAAAGAAATCACCTGTTCATGCACAGACAGCATATCTTTTCTTTACTGCTCAAACTAAATAAACTTCAGACTGTAACTTTTGCCAAAGCTCGTATATCAGCTTTGATATGATAAATATGATAAATGATATATGATGATATTTTATGATTATAATATATTTTATATTCACACTTCAACAAATTAAACATGTTCTGTTCCCTGTGAAATATGAGTGGTGTAATCATTTTCCAGGTTCAGAATTACGGGATAGGTGGCAGATATGAACCACATTATGATGCATGGGTAAGATTACAATGTTAATAATATACAGACATTTGTATAGAACAATTTTTATAGAACCAACACAGAATTTTCCATGGGTTTCCACAGTAAATTCTCCATGGTGTGGGATTTTTGAGAAAATATTATACTGAACATTTTCATATAAAGTGACAACAAAATACTCTGCACAAAAGAAAAAAATATATATATGTATATGAAAAAATAAAACATTTATGACTTAAAAAAAAATCTGTGGTTATCCCTTCTTGAAGAGACTTTATCGTTGCTTTTTTTTTTTTTTTTTTTTAAAATTTTTTTTTTTACA